TCACTGTCAAGAATATGACAGAGAAATCAAACTATTCTTTAGTTTGCTCGGGGACCCAACAAAAGCCCGTATGTGGATCTCCATAACTCCCTCAAGGACTCCGAGCAAAACCCCCACAATGGGCACCAGCGCTTTAAAGAGACATCCAGAGTTCTTCTTCCTGTGACAAATTACTTCTAGATACTTCTCTTGCAGCCCAATTTCATATGTTGTTTGTGTCACTCAGACCAAACTGGTCTTCACCCGTTAATCATTTTCTTGGCAGCTGCTGCATTTTTTTTAAAGCCTCTTGGCACCCTGCTGTTGTAGCCTACCATCCTTTGGTCTCTGGAGGAAAAAAAAAGGAGAGAACAGAATGATGGGCCTATTATTGCCTCAGATGTGAGACGAGAGTGTCCAGGAGGAGGCTGGGGATTGGCTTCATTGGCTGAAAGCTGCACCTTGTTAGGATTTAGCGTCTTAAAATGTGTCTCTTTTTGACAGGCCTGAATGGGTTTTACTCTCTTTTGATAGTTTGCTTAAGATTTTGTTTTAAACTGTGGCTGCAGGCCTGGTAGGGAAGGCCTTTGATATGTAGGATTCATGGGAATAAAGTGTTGTATTTTCTGTGTGGAGAAAAAAACAAGAGAGTTCCAGATCCTGATGACAAAACGACAGTTCTTCTCCTCTGCATCCAGGCGGTGGCGGCAGTAACTTTGAGTGTGTGACCTGACCTCACCTACAGTCATGGTAATACAGATATAAATACAAGATTAAAATATACACATCTAACAGCTATGATGACACCAGATTTGTCTTCAGTGTGAAAAAACAACCCAAAAAAGAGGTTTTTTTTCTTGTCTTTCCTATCCATACAAATGTAAATGTATTTTATCAAACCAAATAAAATCAACTTTATCTTTTTATTATTGTTATTATTATTTATTTAATTAAATCCTACACTAATTAAATTAATAACTTTGGAATGGAAATTGAAGAACAAATATTGAGTACATTTTCAGAAGAAATCAGTGAAATGGAAACGTTCTCCATCCTGAGCTGGTGTTTTAGTGAAGACTTATGAGAAGCCCTGTCCATAGAACCATGACACATGTTCATATGAGCAATCTGACATTTCTGGAGGTTCATGCTTTCAGACTGGGTTCCCACAATAAAGTTATCTCCCCGTGTGGGCCACGTTTCGATGAGGAGAAACACTGTGTGGAGACGTGGAGCCTCTGATTCCTCTGTGCGGCTCAGAGCGGAGCCTCGTGGCCGCCGTCCGTCCGTCCGTCCTCGGCCGCCCTGCAGCCTCCAGACGCTGCAGCTGCCGGAGGGGCCTTCGGAGCGGCCCGGGGCCAACACTCCTCCAGCGGCCCGGAGCCAACGCTCCTCCAGCGGCCCGGAGCCAACACTCCTCCAGCGGCCCGGAGCAGGCTCTACGTAGCCTGTAGGTTCTAGTTATTTCGTTGTTTTTAGAGGGCCACGAACAGAAGGCCACCGTTGGTTTTTTTGGCCACATATTTGACATATTTTGTCTAAACTGTCTGTTTTTATGTTGTCTACGGCGTGTGCTGCTGTATTCCGGTAAACATTCAGTCACATGGAAATTATTTCAGACTGTAAGAATGAACACAAAAAATA